AGAGTGTTCCTTTAACTGGTTGACTGTGCATGTGTTGGTGAGTCAACTCAGTGAGAGTTTAGAGTAGATCTAGAGTTTCTTAGGTTGGGTGGCTTGGCTTGGTGCTAGTTTCCAATTGGAGTCCATCATCTTGAATTTTTTGAGTGCGTACCTTCTTCAGCAGCCATCCCCCTATTTATAGATAAAGATACGGACGCCAATTATTTCTCCAATCTAATTTGACAGTACAGTCTATGTAACAAAATATTACGAACTTCAAATTTCCTTTAGTACGGTTTAATTCGTCCTTTCATTGACGGTCACATGCCAAAAGTAGGGAACATTCCATGCGCTTGTCAGTAGATTGGACATGCATTAAATGCTTCTGTGTGCTGCCAACAAGTCGTGTAACGAAAGAACGCTGAGGCGTATGCTAGAGGGTGGGCGAGCAGCAGAAGGCTTCCCATTCCCTTGTTGCTCGCCCAACATCTCGTCTGACAAGCTATCAGCTTATGGGTTTTTCTTCTTCATGGGCCTATGGGGCCTTTTAGTCTTAATTAGGCCATTTGAGTTGAACTTTGCCCTGATCATGTATCATTCTGAACGAGTACCCAAAATGTTGTGTTTAAACGTGAAGAAAGTAAGTAATAAGATTTAGAACGTGAGGTGTAGTGTGTATGTTTTATTATCAGGTACAACTTTTGTGATTTTAATCGTGAAAAAGTTTTTTGGACGTTCCACCAAATTTACCAAAAATTTGTGTACTATATTATACATTTTTTTGTGATTTTGATCGTAAAAATTTTTTTTGAACGTTCCACTAATTTTATCCAAAATATGTGGACTATAGTATACAGTTTTTGGTGAGTTTGACAGTGAAATAGTTTTTTTGGATGTTGGACCTATTTTAACTAAAATATGTGTACTATATAGTATACATTTTTTGGTGATTTTGATCTTGAAAACGTTTTTTGGACGTTCTGCCGATTTTACCCAAAATCTGTATACTATAGTACAAAGTTTTTGGTGATTTTGATCATGAAAAAGGTTTTAAGGATGATCCGACAATTTTATCAAAAAAATGTGTACAATAGCATACAGTTTTTTGTGATTTTGATCGTGAAATAGTTTTTTGGACGTTCCATCAATTTTACCCCAAATCTGTGTACTACTACGGTCTACTGTTTTGGTGATTTTGATGAAAAAGTATTTGAGACGTTCCACCAATTTTACCCAAAATCTGTGTACTATAATGTATAGTTTTTGGTGATTTTGACCGTGAAAAGGGTTTTTGGTGTGATCCACCAATTTTATCAAAAATTTGTGTACTTAGCATACAGTTTTTTGTGATTTTGATCGTGAAAAAGTTTTTTTGACGTTACACCAATTTTAACTAAAATTTGTGTACTATAGCATACAGTTTTTTGTGATTTTGATCGTGAGATAGTTTTTTGGACGACCCTCCAATTTTACCCAAAATCTGTGTACTATAGTGTACAGTTTTTTGTATTTTGGTCGTGAAATAGTTTTTTGGACGTTCCACCAATTTAACCCAAAATATGTGTACTATAGTGTACAGTTTTTGGTGATTTTGAGCGGGAAGTAGATAAAAGGACTTTCCGGCGATAATATCTCAAAAATGGGGAGGATATTATACAACTTTTGGTGTAAATTGGTAGAACG